ACCAATTTAATTTTTTTTTAAATTTGGCATTCGGTATTTCTAAACGCAGGACAAAATTTAGAAACTATTTAGCATGAGTGTTTTTTGCAGTTGTAGATGCATAACAGAATTTGGTGATCAAAGTTCAAAAATAATGTTTTTTTACATTTTTTCATTATATTTTATAATTGTTTTTATAGCAAATTATATGATGAAAATAACGGTATCTTTAGAAAGACCATTTAATGGCGAGGAAAAATGTATATAAATTGTGGGAACAGTAAATGAGTAAGAGAAAAATTACAGCTAAAAACAAACATCGCAGAAATGTAACGGTAAGAAAATTGAAAAACAGGCTGGTCACTAAGGGGTTAAGCTATGCATTGTTTATTAGCAACCAAAATAGCTAGACGTTGGAAATCAAGTCTTCATTTAAAAAGGAAACACAAAAAAACTCTTAACAGATCAATTACGTATGGAGAGAGAGAGAGTGAAAGAAACTTATCTAGTTCCATTTTGTACTCATAATAAACAAGAACTATATAAGTGGTTTAACCCCTTCAGGACGGAGTCAATAGTACACGTTCTGATCAAAACAAAATGTAAACAAAAACTGGAATTTGCGCTATATGTCTGTTCAAACGTTATTCACCTCTTTCATATTATATGCACCCACACTTCTTATATATCAGTTTGTTCAGGAGAAACAGGGCTTTCATTTCATATCAAATATTTATATATGAAACATAATTTATTATGAATAAAATTAAAAAAAACTGAGAAACTTAATTTCTTTTTTAAATTTGTAGTTCCGCCTCACATTTTAGCTGTAAATGTCATAATACTGTTAGCTTTTAGTGCATATTTGGATTCAGCAAAGTCTCACGAGTACAACAGTAGCCCCCATTAACAGTTGTTACAGTGTTTTGAAAAGTTAAGGGGTCAAATATAGCACATTCAATTTTTCCACATTGAAATTTGCCGATTAGTATGTTACATTTGAGACGGTGTGGTAACCCAGGAACGAGATTTACCCCCATGATGGCATACCATTTGCAAAAGTAGACTACCCAAGGTATTGCAAGTGGGGTATGTCCAGTCTTTTATAGTAGCCACTTAGTCACAAACACTGGCCAAAGTTACCATTCACATTTGTTTTTGTGTGAAAAAAGCAAAAAACAAACATTTGGCCAGTGTTTGTGACTAAGTGGCTACTAAAATGACTGACAATACCCCATTTGCAATACCTTGGGTTGTCTACTTTTGCAAATGGTATGCCATCATGCGGGTAATTCTTATTCCTGGGCTACCATACTGTCTCAAAGGCAACATAACCAATCTGGCAAATTTCAATGTGAAAAAAATGAAATGCAAGCCTTATATTTGACTCTCTAACTTTCAAAAATACCCTAAAAACTGAATACAAAAACAAGTGTTTTAAAACAGTAAAACATATTGCAACAATAATATTGTCAGTAAAAGCGCAAAAAAAGTTTGTGTGTGAAAAATGCAAAAAACTTCACTTTTACTAAAAATATAATTGTTGTGATACAAGTTACCATTTTGAAACACTAATATTTGTGTTCAGTGAAGTCTCCCGAGTAAAACGGTACCCCCCATACAGTGGCGTACTAAGGGGGGGCGGACCGCCCCGGGTGCCACCAGGGTGGGGGGTGCCTTGGGAGGGGGCGCCGCCAGGAGCGCCGCCCCCCCTCATGCTGCAGCTGCCCGAGTGCTCTGTAGAGAGCCTCCGGCGGCTGCAGCTTTGCCCGCCCAGGCGCAGCCTGAGGAGAGGGGCTGACAGGAGGGAAGCGCTCAGCACTCCCTCCTGTCACTTCCTCACTGTAGCGTGGCCGAGCCCTGTATCATGGTCGCGGGTACAGGGAGCATCTGTCTCCTGTACCCGGCCGGACTAACAGGAAGTACACACCGAGTGTTCACTTCCTTTTAGTCCGGCCGGGTACAGGAAACAAAAGCTCCCTGTACCCGCAGACCATACAGAGCTCGGCCAGGCTACAACAGAGGTAAGGGGGTGGGGGGATAAATTGGGAAGGGGGAGGATAAATAAAGATTGGGATAAAGGAAAAGATTAAGGGGAGCGTTATCAGAGGGGGGATGCGGAAATTGGGATGGAGGATAAATAAAGACGTGGAGAGGATGGGATAAAAGAAAGTACTGGGGGAGTCGCATCGTGGGGAGGGGAGAAAGAAAGATGGGGGCATAAAAGAAAGAAATTGGGAGGGAGAGAAGGAAATTAGGAGAAGGGATGTGAAGAAAGTCATTGAGGGGATAAAGAAAGAAATTGGGAGGAGAGAAGGAAATTGAGAGGGGATGTGCAAGAAAGCATCGGGAGGGGGGGATAAAGAAAGAAATTGGGAGGGGGAGAAGGAAATTGGAGAGGGGGATGAAGAAAGATTGGGAGGGGGGATAAAGAAAGAAATTGGGAGGGGGAGAAGGAAATTGGAGGGGGGTAAAGAAAGAAATTGGGAGGGGGGAGAAGGAAATTGGAGAGGGGGATGAAGAAAGAAATTGGGAGGGGGATAAAGAAAGAAATTGGGAGGGGGAGAAGGAAATTGGAGGGGGGGGAGAGAAGGAAATTGAAGGGGGGGAGAGATTGACATTCATCACACACAATGCACCCCTTGCACACAGAAAAACACACAATGCATTACACACACTGCATTACACACACAGACACACATACACAAGCAATGCAACCGTTACACACAATGCATCCCTTACACACACAGAAACACACAATGCATTCATTACACACACTCAATGCATCCCGTACATACACAGAAACACACCTTGCAGCCCTTACACATACAAACACAGATTCACACAATGCATTCCTTACACACATATCAGGACATCCCCTACACACTCCACCCCCTGTGAACAAACTCATTGGTGGAACATGAAGGTGGACCCTGGGACCCAGACCTTGAGCTGTGTAAAGGACCCCCAAAAAATGGAGCTGCTTCCCGTTCTCCCAGAACATTGATTTTTGTGACCACAGTTACAAACCGCCTCCAGAGAGCCTGTTCTACACCAGACCAGTGGAGCCAGACTGCAGCTAGAGCCCATCATCATCCTCATCTGGTTGTAAGTAGGCAATCTAGTATATTATTCATGGCACTAATCTCTAATTTACCTCACATTAAAGAAACACTATAGTCCCCAGAACCACTGCATCTTAATGTAGTGGTTCTGGTGTCTATAGCCTGTCCCTGCAGGCCTTTTAATGTAAACACGGTGGCACTGCAGCACTGCAGCACTGGCGTTAGATAACATGGCAAATCATATGGGTGGGGCATTGTGATGTCACATGGTGGGGGCGTCAAACTTTACTTTTGCCTAGGGCGGCAAAAATCCTTGCACCGGCCCTGGCTGGAGGGGGCTGTGTGAGCTGTGGCCGCACAGTGCCCCATGGTAGTTAGGGTGCCGTGCGGCCAGTACAGCTCACACAAGCAAACAGCTGATAAACTGGCCGCACGGAGCTAAGCAAAATCGGAGGCGGGGCCAAACTGGCACTGGGGCGGGGCTTTGGGGTGGCAAGGGGTGCCAAGCACAGGATCCGCCCCGGGTGCCAAATGCTCTAGGTACGCCCCTGAGTTAGCGCTCAATCTTTTTTGAAAGCTTTCCAGTTGGAAAGTACAGAAAAATAAGAAATTATGATTATAACCTATTAACCTTATAGATGTAATTTATACAGAATATGTGCTCACACAAAAATACTTTTTCATTAAATATAAATAACTTCCAGCACAGAGAGTCCCAGAAATGAATCCCAGAAATGAGCAGTCCAAATCTCAAAAGATAACCACTTTTTTCTTTTTCCAG